GGTGCTGCTGGCTGTGGATGTGCTGGTTGCGAAGTTGCAGCCTCCAGCAGAAACTCTTGAATCCAAAATACTTTGACATAAAACTGTTTGATCATAAAACATGCAACAACATACAACAGCACCTGGGCTTCTGTCGGATGTGCTGCAGCGGCCTTCGGATGTGCTGCAGCAGACGCAGACACTCTAGAATCCAGAGCTTATGACATAAAAAATGTTTGACTAACAAAATGCCCGGGCCCAGGCATCATCATGCCAGGCACCATCAAGCCAGGCATCATACCCCTCTGAGCAGCCTGAGTTTGAAAGAGAAAATGTTCAAGGCTGAAACATCATCATTGCAAAACTGCAAAACATAGCGCCTGCTGCACCTGCATGGTGAACATGCACTGCATCGCCATTATCGTCGTCATGGCCTGCCAAGGTCAAAACCGAAAAATGTGTTCAAAAGGCTTGCAACCAACAAAGCAAGAAGCGCACCTGAGCGGCATTGGCCATTTGAGTTGCTGCTTGCGTCATCTGCAGTGGGAATAATTCCGTTAAAACAAAGTTACAAGAGATGTTTTAAGAAACCAAGCACCACATCAAAGCCGAGTACAACCATTGAGTCTGAGCCCGTGACAGCAGCAGTTCTAGCTTCACTTTGAAGCGGTTCAGGCGAAGGCGGTCCATGCAGTCACCACAAAATTTGTATGCAAAAAAAGACACTGTGCATTTGACATAGATGTTGCAAGATTTTCAAGCCACCCAGGTCCCACGCTCATTCATATTCCTCTTCCTCTGTTCATCCTAAGTTGCAGTGACTAAACATGTCAGGTTTGATAAAATCCAAGATGCTCTGTCTCTCTTCTTCTGACTTCGCGTCATGGCTATGGCATCGGATGTAGCTTGCAGCAATTAAATGTAATGAATGTTTTAGATGTTGAAGTGTTTGTGCAGTATGCAGCAAATAGATGTAGTTGATGTGTTTGTGCGGGGTCTAAGGAGTTGATGTGTTTGTCGAATATAGTTTGGCGAGGTCTTAGTAGAGGGTTCCTCTTTCTCCTTGGATTTGTGTTGCAGGATTGGCTGAAAAGTTTGAAGCGTTTCGGTTCAGTTTGCAAAGTGATGCAAACAATTCACAATAAAGTTGGTGCATGCTCTCCATTGAGCCTGAATTAGAGGTATGCAAGTGCATGGTGCATGACAGTGAAGAAGAAGACAATGACATGCTTCAATAATGTGAACCATGTAACACAGAGTTCCGGCTTTGCTCTAAACATTGTGGCTCCAAGCATTGCAGGCCTTGCAGGCTTGCTCTGTGGACAGGCTACAAAACCCTCACGTTTTGCTCACTTTTGACACGGTGCACAATCCCAAAAGTGGTCCGAACATGTGGTGTTTTTAACATGTTGACTTTGAAATGTGCTTCACGCCACAACAGCGTGCACTTTTTCGACACCTCAACTTCCAAAAGCGGTCCGAACCTGGTGTGTTTTATACATTTTGACTTGGAAATGTGCTTCGCGCCACAACGACGTGCACTTTTTCGACATCTCAGGGTGAAGTGTTTTTAGCCTTTTCACTTGCAAATGTGCTTCGCACCACAACGGCGTATACTTTTTCGACATCTCAACTTCCATAAGTGGTCCGAGAATGGTTTTGTACATTTTGACTTCCAAATGTGCTTCTGGCCACAACAGCGTGCAACTGTTCATCTCTCATCTGGCCAGATGGCTCCGCACCCGCTGCTTTAGCGAGCCTACTTTTCCACCCTCCGGAGCCACAAGTCACTAGAAAAACATAGTGTGTCGCAACTTTCCTACCTTTTCGCGCACCTGCATCTTCTTTCTTCTGACTCTTTCTCTTCTCTGATCTTCTCTCTTGTGCTCTTCTCTTCTCTGACTCTTCCCACCTCTGCTTTTCCATCTGTCCATATTGTCGGAAGTTTGACTTCTAAATTTCCTTTGATCATATTATATATTATATCATATCAGATTATATCATATTAAATCATTATATATATCAGATTATACCAGTAGTACCGCACAAGGCGGTGGCGGAAGTTTCAAAAATAGGAAACCTATAGGAGAGGTTGGTTGTTGTGAATCAAGGATGGCAGAGCGAATCCACTGATTGACCGAAAGGTGGTTGGAGTTGTGTTTTTAGGGGTGGTTGCAATGAATGCAGTGGGCACCTCACCCAAAACTGGTGGATGTAGTGTGGTGTAGCGCAGTTGTAGTTGCAGTTGTAGTGTAGTGTAACCAGTGTAGTTGTAATTGTAAAGTAGTGTATTGTAATGTCGTGTAGTGTAGTGTAACGTAGTGTAGCATAGTGTAGTGTAGCCTAGTGTAGTGTATGTGAAGTAGTGCAGTTGTAGTTGTAATGTAGCGTCGTGTAATTATAGTTGAGTGTAGTGTAATGTAATTAGTGTATATAATGTAGTGTAGTGTGTATGTGTTGTTGTTGTTGTTCTTCTTCTTGTTGTTGTTGTTCTTCTTGTTGTTGTTGTTCTTGTTGTTGTTGTTGTTGTTATTGTTGTTGTTTTTCTTGTTGTTGTTGGTCTTCTTGTTGTTGTTGTTCTTGTTCTTGTTGTTCTTGTTCTTGTTGTTCTTGTTCTTGTTCTTGTAGTTGTAGTAGTAGTAGTAGTAGTAGTAGTAGTAGTAGTAGTAGTAGTGGTAGTAGTAGTAGTAGTGGTAGTGGTAGTGGTAGTGGTAGTGGTAGTGGTAGTGGTAGTGGTAGTGGTAGTGGTAGTGGTAGTCGTAGTGGTAGTGGTAGTGGTAGTGGTGGTAGTGGTAGTCGTAGTAGTAGTAGTAGTAGTAGTAGTAGTAGTAGTAGTACTAGTACTAGTACTAGTACTAGTACTAGTACTAGTAGTAGTAGTAGTAGTAGTAGTAGCAGTAGTACTAGTAGTAGTAGTAGTAGTAGTAGTAGTAGTAGCAGTAGTAGCAGTAGTAGCAGTAGTAGCAGTAGTAGCAGTAGTAGCAGTAGTGGTAGTGGTGGTAGTGGTGGTAGTGGTGGTAGTGGTAGTAATGGTAAAAGTAATGGTAGTGGTAGTAGTAGTGGTAGTGGTAGTAGTGGTAGTAGTGGTAGTAGCGGTAGTAGTGGTAGTAGTGGTAGTAGTGATAGTAGCGGTAGTGGTAGTAGTAGTAGTAGTAGTAGTAGTAGCAGGAGCAGAAGAAGAAGTAGTAGTAGTAGTGGCGGTTGTTGTTGTAATTGTAGTTGTGGTTGTAGTTGCAATGTAGTGTACTGTAAGTAGCATAGTGTAGTGTACTGTAGTTGTAGCTGTAGTTGTAGTGGTAGTTGTAGTTTTTGATCCATCTATCTGATCTATCTGTCTATCTGCAAGCTTGAAAACGAAGCTATTCTGCGAGACTTCCTCAAAAATTGAACTTGACAACGTCAAAAACGCAGCATTTCTGTGAGACTTCCTCAACTTTTGCACTTGGCAACATCAAAAACGAAGCTATTCTGCGAGACTTCTTCAATTTTGGAAGTTGACAACATCAAAAACGAAGCAATTCTGCGAGACTTCTTTCAAACATGGAAAGTTGTGCAGAGCTGAAGGCCTCGTACCAATGCGTTTTGCGATTTTGCCACTCCTCCACCTGTCTAAAGTACTGCGCCTGCCAGAAAGTTGATGTCATACGAAGTGCTGCACCTGTCACGCAAAATCATCTCATCGAACCTACAATATAGATATGATGCTCCAAAATGCAACCCCTTTCAGGAAATCAGCGCCCGGACCTAACATCTCTGATGAACATGTCTCTTGTACTGCGCCTGCCACGCGACATGCATCTTGCCAGATCCTCTGCAAATGTCCCACGCCTGCCATCGTTTTTGGAAACACTGCAAAAACCCTCACGTTTTGCCCACTTTTGGCAACGCGCAGAATCCCTTGCACCTGCCACGCAGAACGACATCTGAACATCAAAAAGTGATCCGAACATCTGGTGTTTTTATTTTTAAATATGTTGACTTCAAAATGTGCTTCGCGCCACAACGGCGTGCAGTTTTTCGGCATCTCAACTTCCAAAAGTGGTCCGAACCTGGTGTGCTTTATTTTGACTTGGAAATGTGCTTCGCGCCACAACGACGTGCACTTTTTCGACATCTCAACTTCCAAAAGTGCTCCATACGTGAGGTGTTTTTAGCTTTTTCGCTTGCGAATGTGCTTTGCGCCACAACGGCGTACACTTTTTCGACATCTCAACTTCCAAAAGTGGTCCGAGAATGGTGTGTTTTGTACATTTTGACTTCCAAATGTGCTTCTGGCCACAACGGCGTGCAACTTTTCATCTCTCATCTGGCCAGATGGCTCCGCACCCGCTGCTTTAGCGAGCCTACTTTTCCACCCTCCGGAGCCACAAGCCATTGGAAAAACATATTGTGTCGCAACTTTCATACCTTTTCGCGCACCTGCATCTTCTTTCTTCTGACCCTTTCTCTTCTCTGACTCTTCCCACCTCTGCTTTTCCATCTGTCCATATTGTCGGAAGTTTGACTTCTAGATTTAATTATATCATACTATATATTTGTTAAATCATATCATATTATAGTATTAAATTAAATTAAATTACGATAATATATATATATATAATATATATATATACAGTATATATACACACCCTAATCATCCGACGGTTCAAGTGAGCAAACAAATCAGCCCTGTAATGCCAAGTTCAGAATTTGAGCGGGCTCTTAGCGTGAACAAACGTTCCTCTGGTCTTGTCACTAAAGGCGCACAGCAGATACAGGGGCAGCAATTTATTTCGATCACACAAAAGATCGATGTCAGGTTGGGCAGAGCATGCCACAGCACAACTGTGGCTACATTTTTCTACTATCTCTTTAACTCTAGGTGGAGACCCGGCAGTAAAATCAAGAACACTGTCAGTCAGACGCAACGACAACCTGCCATGTCACTAGTCACTAGGGTGAACTTGGGTGAACTTGGAAGGGTCACTGGTCCACCCAAGAAACTCCGGTGTTTCTCGCTGTTTCAGCTGTGCCCGGCCCGCCTCAGCGGGCATGCTGCGGCTGCGATGCGACTGCGTCTTGCATTCCCCGTTGGGAGACACAGAGATGAACCTCACAGGAGAGCTGTGGTGAGCTCTGTGGCTTACCATGGCTTTGTTCCGCCCTGACGCCGTAAGGAACGGTGATCATTGAAGATGTGCTCAGTAGGAGGTATTTTGACTTGAGTGACTGGTTCGAACAGAATCGAATTCATGTGTGAGTTGGAGAAATATTGTTGAATGATTTAATCTCACCTCAGGATCGGGGTTCAGTATTAATTTGAACTGGGCACATCAAAAAATTGGATGGTAGAATATGGATGAATATGGTAGATATACTTACCTCTGGTAAACTAACATAACTATGGAGAATCACCATGTTTATTGGAAAATTCCCTATAAATGGCCATTTTCAATAGCTATATGTTAAATTACCAGAGGGTAAGGCTTAAGGGGATTTGTAGACCAACTATGACCAACTGAAATAACTGGACGGCACCACCTTTCAGAAAGCAATCTGCACCGTGGCGTTGTCAAACAAAATGGCGGGAATGATGGGCATCCAGGATCATCCAATATCCATTGGAATTGGTATGAATTGGTGGAAGAAACCCAATTTTCAGATAACCTCTTAAATTATTCAAATGATGCAACAAACAGCTGGTTTTACTGCGAGGGGCGTATTCTCCGCGACCAGCTCGCAGTCTGTCTCCGCAAGCATTTGCTTCAATCGTGAGGCATGTTTTTGCCACCTGGACCCCAGCAATTTCTGGTCGAATTGGGATGGTGTATTTTGATTGGGTTATACCGCATTGTTTAATTTAAACCCGTAAATAGTCCCTTCCTAATATTAAATACGTACCTCAAAAACCTTGGCTCCGCATCGGATCTGTATTATTCGGGAGATTCGATTTTAAATCGACCGAAATCTGTGGTCCACGAGGTGCTGAAAAAAATCAACTGGGGCAAATGATCCGTCTGGGCAACTTACCACGAATTCCCATTCAGAAAGAAGCATTTTTTTTGGATGATTTACATGACATGTATATATATATATAATTTGAAAGTAGCGAGTTAGCATAAAGATATAGATAATTACTTCTTGGGCCAAATTGACCTAAAACTGCGGCAAAAGGGATGGCAAAGCCACGGGCAGAGGGGCCGCAAAATCTATATAACACCCTGGTGCGCAGAAAAGGTCCCCCCATTTCCCGCTGAGCTCAGCTGTCGCTAGGCGCCTGGGCTCAGTGTCGCATGGACTGCGCGGAGACATGGGCGAAACGATGCCGTGCTCCCTGCGAAGCGACTTTTGACGTTTCAGATTTTTTTTCAGCCATTTCTTTGATTTTCTTCGTGGATCTTCTGGATGATTTTCAGATGATTTAAGATGGGAGATGGGGCAATTTACAGGACCTGTTTGATGGGGAAAAGCTATGGTTTCCGGCCAAAATTGTCCCTTGAACAATATCCACCTTAAGTGCTTTCACATGGATTGTTCCCGTCAAAACAGTGGATTTACATAATATGATTATGTATGATTCAACATGATTTAATCATCCAAATCTAGGTGGATTTCTTGGGAACTCGCCACCTAATATGGGGATAGATCTAGCGGGGCTTGATGGGACTTGAGGGATTCAACATGAATTTCCCATCAAAATGCTGGATTTCACATGACCTAAATATAAAACGCTGCGATTTAATCAGAAAAAATTGGGAACGTACCCCATTTTAATTTTGCGCCCTACCTATGTTTGGTGCTCAAAAAACGTTCGCCTATGCTTTATGGATTCTTGCTTTAAACTAACCCGGCGAGACTTTGAACTGATCTTGCCAGGTAAAGATGCTCAAGGTTTATAGTTGATTTCAATTTTTTGTGGGATGTGTGGTAAACACATCGAAGCCCTAGAACTGCCATGACAAAGGGTGTCCGACCCAACAAGCAGGCGTGTGACTACAATCATCCAGTGATTTGTGAAGAAGTTGTCGCGACAACTAACATAGCGAGTTGGGAAATCCATGGAAATCCCAAGGTAAACAAAAAAAACGATCCAGGTTCCAGACGTTCTATTTCTTGATAATACTAGAGATCCAAAAAAATCTGCAGAGGCTTCATGAAACACATGTATAACAAACATTTGAAAAAAACAACAAGTTCATTGTGATCATGATGACAAAACATCATTGAAGTGCCAAACATCATTACATTAAACACAAAAAGTCATATACTGGTTGGTGGTTTCAACCCCTCTGAAAAATAGTAGTCAGTTGGGAGTATTATTCCCAATATATGGAAAAATAAAAAATGTTCCAAACCACCAAGCAGGATATGTCCATGTACTCTGGTAATTTGACCTAGCGCTATGGGAAAATCCCACCTTCCGAGCGCAGGCACGGAGCGAGCACGCAACAAGGAGGCGATGGCCTGGTCTCAGCGGAGGGAAACTTGCTGACGATGATTTACTGGGTACAATCAACAAGATAACCAGTGATTTAATGGGCTATATTGGGAAACTCTGAAGATATAATGGGATAATATGGAATATATATACATATATATATACCCTTCCCTCCATAAACATGGACGTGGAGGCCAGAAAAACGTACCACTAACATGGACGTGCATCTGGTAAAAGCCATCAAAATTTAGCTAAACAAGGACGTGGTCCTCCAAAAAGTGGCTAAATTTTGTGCATTAACATGGACATGGCAAATTTTCATACTTTGGCAAGTTCCCGGGGAATGCCCCAAGAGAGAGATAGCCTGTACCCCCAAATCCTGGGAGCCTCCATGTTAGCAAAACATTGCGAGATATGACTGCCATCAGAAAACGCCGGTTCCAGAAACCTGTCGTGCACCTTTCCTTTTCAGGACTGCCAGGGATCGAATCATGGTTGTTGCTAACACCACCGCAGCTCACCAAAATGAAAGCTTTGGAGGTCTGAGGTTGGGTCCTAGATGAGGTTGTGACTTTTTGAAACTGTTTTAACATGTTTTAACCATTTCTATAAAGGGAAATTAGGCAAACCTGGCCGCCTCTTGCTTTGGAAATGTGCATGGGGGAGTTGCATGACTGACACATGGACAAGTCTACTATCATGGACGTCCCTGACAAGCACAACGGACGACAGCAGGGAGACGGTTTGACATGGAGATCCACCAGAAGGAGGTTCTTTTGCACGTCCCAGCGCCCAGGGGGGACCACAAGGAAGGGGACAAATAAGGACAAAACTGAGAGCCTTTGAACAGGAGATTCCTTAGATGCAAGCAAGACTATTCTCACAAATTGGGGCTCCTCAATGTCCATGTTAGTCAGCCCACTGCATTTTGGAGGGCTGCCCATGGAGGTCTTGGATTGGGCCTGGGTTGAAGTACGTATATATATATATATGAATTTGAATATGAATATCTATTATCTATATTATATAATATTACATACAGGCTATAAAGAATTTGCTATGAGGCATGGTCACAATATTGTAATTGTATGGGGTATGGCCATCCACATCATCCATATCATAAAATCATCCATATCATCAAAAACATCCATATCAACCATATCAATCATATCATCCATATCATGCATATCATCCATATCAATCATATCATCCATATCAATCATATCAATCATATCAATCATATCATCCATATCATCCATATCATTCATATCAATCATATCAATCATATCATCCATATCACCCATATCATCCATATTATCCATATCATCCATATCATCCATATCATCCATATCATCCATATCATCCATATCATCCATATCAATCATATCAATCAAATCAAACATATCATCCATATCATCCATATCAATCATATCATCCATATCAACCATATCAATCAAATCAATCAAATCATTCATATCATACATATCAACCATATCATCCATATCAATCATATCAATCAAATCAAACATATCATCCATATCATCCATATCAATCATATCATCCATATCATCCATATCAATCATATCATCCATATCAATCATATCAATCATATCATCCATATCACTCGTATCATCCATTTCATCCATATCACTCGTATCATCGATATCAATCATATCATCCATATCATCCATATCATCCATATCAATCATATCATCCATATCAATCATATCAGTCATATCATCCATATCAATCATATCAATCATATCATCCATATCATATCAATCACACCAATCATATCATCCATATCAATCATATCAAACATATCAATCATACCATCCATATCATCCATATCAATCATACCATCCATATCAATCATATCATATCATCATCATCATCAGATTGCTATCAATCCCATGATGGGAGTCTATTTTGAGTCAAACGGGTTAGACATCTACCAACTAATATTGCATATACGAGATAACGCGACGAATGATCACCTGGAAAAGTAAACCCAAACTGAGATAGAAACGTTGGAACCTGGCATGTTCTTTTCTCATCCATTCCACAACCTGGGAAAACATGTCTGATTACCTACACTGTGTTACATGAGAGCGTCTAGATCCTGTGCTTGATTGATAGTTGAGCTCTGCATTCCAACAAAGGATACATCACGGACATGTTTGAAACCAACCAGGATCGTGACCGAACAAACTGTATTGGCGGTTGGTCTCACACTACAAAATGACAAAGAATTCGTTGTCAAGCATCAACTTTTGTCGGACATAAGGGTAAAGCAGAATCTATTGCAACATATTGCAACCAGCATTCCAAGATGTTGAACCAGAAAAATGCTTCAAAAATCCAAAACAAAATGAAGAACGCCCGTTTCTGGTGAACCCCGCGCCCTGCGCCTCGTTCAAAATTGGAGTCTTCTTATTCGACTCCTGCGCAGACACCGGAACCACGGCGTTGGACTTCCAAAACAGAGCTATATTGGGATCCATAACATGGTAGATCAATGGAACATGTCAATGCAAGGTGGTGCCCCCAAGATGGTAACTGGAGGGCACCATCCCAATACTTGGGGCGAAACCATGGATGCAATTTTCGCGTTGATTTTCTCATCTTTCCTTAGGAAGTTGATAAACATCCCACATCACATCATCACATCCCACATCACAAACATTCAAGGACATAAAATATCATATCATAAAACTCAAACGACCCTTCCTTTTGGAATCTTGAAGGTTTTGGTTTAGCTTTAAACCATGAATAAGCGAGCTAAGGATCCGAACCCCCATGGTCCCCATTGTCACAGCTACCGTCAAGAAGGTAAACTCTCCCTTCTGGACTCAAAGAACGCTATGTGGGTAAAACAATAATAAACCATCCTCCAAATCACCATATATAGGTGGTATAAACGATTCCCAAATGGGTGGTTTAACTAACAAATCACTATCTTGATATGTCCACCGCTGTCACCCACAATCATGCCCAATCTGCCATTCTGGACCCCCCCCTTCCGGGCGGTCCCAGCGGCTTTTGGAGCTTTGCGCGCGGCGCTTTTGGAGCGATGGCTGGCAAGCTGCCACGCGGGTCATGGCGGAAGATGCAGCCCAAAATTTCTGATGAACACGTTGCAGGCTCGGTAAGCTGATGAAGATTAGCATCAGTGGCATCAGTTTATACTACTTTCTAATATGATTTTGATGTCTTCTGTATAACAACGTCGTCGTCGTAATTTGACTCCAGCTTCGATGATTGATCATATGCTATTTCAATGATTCACACACTGACATCGATATGATACCATCACATTTCACGCGCCATCCGGGGCCAATTCTCTCCACGGGCCGCTTTTGTATATGTACAGCTGCGGTCGAACACTGGGCGCCTGCCAAGTCTGTGGCTAGCCCGATTGAGCACTGGTTGATACTGGTTGCAATTGACTCTTCCTCCCCATTTCACCACAACATACCACAACTATCTTGTCTAATGTGGGAACCTAATGCCATCTGCACCATCCCCAACTCACCATTAGGAAAGGTGGCATTCCCAGCATCCCCAAGTTTGGTAGGACCTCATCGCCTCGAGCTGTGGCGCCTGGGCAATGGGATCGAATGGACTGATTTGGGCCCCAGTAACCATGGTGAACAAAAATACCAGCCAGATATGGAGATGAGTAAAGTTAGTAAAGCCTGTAATATCCTGTAAATCAGATTAACAAGTTCAATGCCATCCTGCCATTGAAACATGGAACCAACCACATGGCAAATTCACAGAAAATCATGGAACAAGCGTCAGCACCCCATGGTCCCCCAGCCATTTCCAACCGGAAGACTCATCTTCTAGACACCTGAGGATTCCACAATAAATGTGCAAACGAATCTATGGAATTGTGATAGTTTCCAAACATTTAAAAAAAACAAAAACATGGCGTGCTGGGCTGGAAATATACCGAGTTGATACCAATTGTCATTCGGATCATGGACTTTCAAGCCAGCCATGAACAAAATACACAGGGCATCCCAGACATCCCCTCGGTTTGGACACAAAATGATACAAGTGATGTTGACACCCCAGGCAACTTCTGTAAATCTTTGTTTTATAACGTAAAACTTAGTATAAAACTTAGTGACTTAGTATATGTTCTTAAACTGTGTTTTAATTAGTATAAAACTTAGCATATGTCCTATCTCCCAATTGAAATCCCGAAGCAGGAGCCGCTCGGGCCTCTTACTGCCGTATTGGGCTTGGCTCACAACAGTCAGGGAGGTTGGGAGCCAAACTTGGGTTTCGTTTTTCAACATGTTTCAATTGGAACTTGGGGACAATTCCCCTACTGTCCTTGAAAAACCAGTTGCTTTTCTTTTACCCTAGCATCTGCAGTATTCTGGTTATAGCAACCCCCGCACAGATCAAAAAAAGTAGAACAAACATGAACAAACTATTGTACAAAATTAGTTGTAAATACTTTGTTGTATGTTGTTTTCTATCTCTCTTAGGTTACTTTACTATACTAGCAACGCGATTTTTTGCTCACGGAGCCTCACCCTCATCGTCATCGCTTCGACCTTGCCGGGTGTCATTGACCCACCCTGACCTTCCAATGGGGGCCAGACATGGACCAATGGAACAGGCAACAGTAGATCTTTCCTAACGGGAAACTATGAATATTCCAGATAGTTGTGTTAGTTTATCTACTGGAGATGGAGAGCAGACTCAAACTCTCAGAGAGTCTATGGACGCCCGCCGTTTTTTTTGCAGCCCAGTGACACTGTGAGCATGGTGAAACTCAAGCAAATTTCAGCTTGAATCAAGGCGATTTGATGATGACTGCGTATATATCTACATAATATATAAATACATTAAGTACACATACAACAAACAATATATAATTAATTAAATCGTAACAAATTGGAGTCATCATCACAAGCCGGTCATGACGCCGTGAAGATGGCCAGGAGCTCACCGCAACGGGCCACGTATTGGACGGGCGAGCCGCTTGGAATCAGCTCCTAGAGACGAAGGCGAAGGATTTTTCCATGGAAAATGGCGATGTGTCCATAGAAATAGTTGATTTAGCCATTGAAAATGGTAATTTACCCATTGATTTACCCATTTATATATAGTATTTTATAGTTGATTTAGCAATTGAAAATTGTGATTTGTCCATAGTTTTTTTGTAAACGTTTACCGAAGGGTATGGTGTGTAAGTATGAAATTATGGGAGGATTTCTAATGGAGACTTCATGGGTATCTAATGGAGATTTTTCATAGATAATGGAAATTTACCAGGTAATGAATGTTTAATATTTTATGGATACATTGTTATTCTATGTTCTTCTGGATAAATTACCATAATTCACCATGAACATGAAGTCACTTTGGGATAGTTACCATTAGTGACCATCATTTAGAGTGACATCACAGTGAGGTCCTTTTATGTTTTCGATATTATATACTCAATGATTTTTTCTAGATGTTGCAAGAATTAAGGATTCGTGACTGGTAACTGGAATATATTGGAATACAACCCGCTTATTAACAGCCTAGCTACTTGTCGCAACATCTAAGTATGCTCGTAGTACATGGGTCTATGTTCAAGCAAACCTAGGATATTCAATTACTTTAAATGGATTTAACATGGTTTTATGTTCCGTTCGTTTTGGTCAGCACTTGTTTGACTCGAAACATCTCGAAACAAACTTGTCATGGAAATCAACAAGTACAAGGTGGCGCTCCCCAGTTCTAAGTTGGCTTGCAAACCTATCCAATTGTTTATGGATGTATCAACAATAAAGCCCTGTCAGTCTACTGTAGTTTTCAACCAACTTATGCTTATTCGCGGGCCCAAAGATTGTAGCCATGTTCACATCTAAACAAATAACCCGCATTAAGAGGTGCAATGGAAGCATCAACTCAACCACGGCTCGATGAGACCCTCATCTCTACATCATGTCACAAGGTCTATTTATTTTGATATCATTGCTTGGACAATCATAATGTATATATATATAACTGTTTTATGTATATATATATATATATATCAAAAAAGGAAAATCACACAAAAACAAAAAACACAGACATAACATAGAGCAATATCTAATAAACAAGATATAGATGAAATGAAATCATGCAATTAATAGAGCCGTATATAGAGCTAATATAACACATGAAAACACACATGTATAATCTAGTTTATAACAAATGAACATGTAGAAAGTAATACATCATCCATTTAATATAATGTGTATACACTATAATACGTATTTGTTTCTTGTTTAAAACCAACATGTGAAATAAAACAATATAAGATTCAAAGATAGTATGTGTTCAATAACAAAAAACACTATTTATACATGCAGTTGTTTCTGATATTTAACAAACTGTAACATCTAAGATGCACAAATATATATATATAAAGAAATAACTATATATACACACGAAACACAACATCAAATGTATAACAACATTTAGAAACAACAGTGATTAAGTATAGAATCTATAACACACACACATAATATATATATATATATACTATGTAAATATGTGCAATATTTTCGCTGAGGCACGCTGGTCCCTTTGAAGAGGTCGACCATACAGACCTGTCCAGTCTCCTGGCGTAGCGAACTGGAAAATCACCATTTTGAACAGGTAAATCGTCATGTTTATCATCATAAATCACAATAAATCAACATAAATCAACATAAACCATCATGTTTATCATCTGGAAATGGGCCATTGCCCATAGCTTTGCAAAATAACCAGAGAGTAACGAGAAAACTCTACTTGGTGGCTCAACCCAGCAGGTATAAATCGAAATTACAAGCCCAGTTATGACTGGACTAGCACTACATATACAGTAACTGGGCTATAACAATAACTATAACCCATTCACTGGGGTGAGCCATCAAGTACCAATGAAGTAGGAAATAGAAAAACATATAATGGAATATGCAAGAAAACTGGGATGGTAAAAGAGGGTTTGATGGGATTTAAAAAGGGTGTTAATTGCAGCTAAATGCGGATTACATGGGGGTTAAATGGTGGTTAAATGGGGGTTTGGTTTCATGCGGGTTTATTTTGGGTTGAATGGGGAAACACACCATTTCATGGGAGTATAATGGGATATATAGCTAACGATAAGATATGTGGATGTGTCTGAAATTGTGAATACCATCCACACGTGCCGCTTTGAATGGGGAAATAATGATAATGTTTGACCCGTGGATTCAGGGATACCCTAATTTTCAGACAAACCCAGTGTCTTTCACCATCCATTGCTGGGCAGGGGATAGTCCTGACCATCCCATGTGAAAGTGAGCAGATTTCTTTGATTTAGCGGGGTCTCTGGCTTACATTCACTTCCAGCCAGCAAATTCGTCAACAGCTACCAGCAAAGCGTTTGACCCTGACCCCTGGCCTTGTCCACGAAGGTGAGGCAACCATTGTCTGCATAGAACCCCCTGACATCGTCCACGCTCTTTTTCTCCTTGCCGGGGGTTTTTAGGGGCACGTATCCCCTGACAACTGTGCGAAATATCACAGGCCCCGTAATGCAAGAACTACATCATACATGTAGATAGAAGTAATTAATATGATTGAATCTGTATATTTCATTGATGTGTGGCTATATTGCAAATCTACATGTGCAAATGGCGTATATGTAGATATACAGGTCCCTATCGTCTAAGTTGGTAGACTGTGGTAGACGCAGACCGAGGGACTGGGAGAGGCATTTTCACCTCATCAGCCACTGCGCTTGGCCCACGGGGTGCCAGCTGACTGGTGAAACACAAGAAACATGATGGATTAAGCAGTGAAACTAGATAAATCTCAACAACTTTGATGCACTAAGTATTGAGCAATCAAAAGGGCAACAAGGGTCAATGAATCAATGAGTTGATTAGTAGTTGAACCGGTCAAACATCGGAGTTGCAGTAAGGATAGAATGGGCATATAATCAACAAAGTGGGAGCATTCATGAGGAAACAACTGATTGTTGGTTTCCATCAAAAAAACATGACGGAGTTGGCACTGAGGAAGCTACGTGGATGAACGTGGATGTGCAACCCAGCTAGTAGGTGGGTTGTGATGATATTATAGCTCAGGGTCTAATATAAATGGATTATTAACCGCGTACCAATTTGGATTCGCTGAGGTTTTCTTTCATTTGAGAAGAACTATGTTTGAACAGAAGATCAATATTTAAAGAAAACACATATTTGAACCACCAGCTAAGGAGGGAACAAATTCATGGGGTACGCAAAAACACCTTTTGGGGCCATGGGTTTATTTTGAACATTCATGAGGTACCAGTACAAAGAGGCAGTTTCAATTAAAAAAACACATTGAAACACCTTTCAAGATCTTGTCTTGTGCTCGCATATCCATTCTCATTCCACAGAGCAATGATGTTTCGGTTTCCCAAGCAGGGAGGTTCGGATCGTGTCACATGGCCAAGCCAAAGCAAACAAGGTTGCTTCCAGCCAAACCAAGAAAAATCAATTGGGACCCCTGAAAATTAGCACATGATTAGTCTAGTTCATATCACATAAAATTAGATAAATGGAAACACTTGCCTAGCACGGTGATTCTGGGGGTTTACCCCACTTCTTATCTGCAGTCCCAAATTTGGCAATTTCCACACGAGGTTCGATGGTCAAATGACTAAAAGATCCCAATTTCTTGATGGTGAAATGAAACCAATCCTGCAGGTTCAATAGGTAAAAACCCCAGCTTTGTGTTGGGCAAAAGCAACCTCCAAACAAAGCAACTACACTACATCAAGTCATCAAGCTACCACTATTTTAGTAACGTGGTAAACCCAATTTCATAAACCACCCCCATTCCATAACCATTTTGATTGGGACTAACCCTGCATCCCCAAGTGATCCAAAGTGACCGTCTCCCATGGGGACGTCTTATCTCCTGGAGTGTGGTCCTTGGGAGCCAATGGCTGAATCTAACGGCATCAAACACTTGGGACGCAACTGATTCTGGTGATCTAAACATCAATCAACGGCAAAAAAGGAGGATATAAACTGGAGAAGCCACGATAATCCCATCTAAATCTTCAGTAACGTTCGCTAGAGGTGTTTGGTAGTTTTAATATAAACACCATAAATGGTACTGTACTTTGTCGAAGTTTGACGAACCACGCTTCAGATGAGAGTTTCGTTCCTCAAAGAAGTCCAGTCCTGCACTGAAACAAACATGACAGCATTGAGAGGGAGGGGATCACTGGATCCCTTTGGATCCCTTTGGATCCCTTTGGTACTTTGGCATCGCCATGGAAAATGCTTCGTTTATAGTTACGTCAAAGTAGAACGAAAACTATTATATGGGTTAACCAAATCATCTATCAATGGCTTATTATAGTTATTATATGGTTGATCGGTGATTTACCGATGAATTGAACTTATGTCAAACGACCCTTGTCGGCTATGGAAGGGATCACCCTCTGAGACCAGCGGTCCGGTCAGCGGCCCAAACTCGTGAATAGATCCACTACATTTCACCAGGTTTCCGCTTGCGGGTTATTTTATTTCAAATGATTGGGGGACGGGATTATCATGGAATCAAGAGAAATTGAATAGCTACTAAATTTTAGACTCAACTAAGCATTTCTAGTGATGGTGACATAATTATGTCACTTATGTCAGTTGAACAGTCATGCTCTCTGATCAAGCAGGTCAATCGGTCAATCAATTCCATCCTCGAATCACCGTTGACGTGGCCATGTCAATCCCAATTTTGACCAAAGAGAAAAACAACTCATAGAGGTCCCCAAAAACACTATATATATATATATTGGAATTTAGAACTCTCGACAATTACTGTATATGTATATATATATATATAGTTTGTTTTTTTTTGTAAATCCCAAATATGTTTTTTTTTCGGTACAGTTGTTCCAGTTTAACACACTATACATGATATGACCTTCAGAATTTCCAAATTGTCCGATTGTTGTGGCCAAGTTTCATCATTATCTGGGCGGATGGACTGTGCCACTTCAGCTCCTTTCATCTTCATCACCCCACTTCCTGGCTGGTTGAAACCATCACGTGGAGATCATCAGTTCAAAATCAGAGAATGATTTGTTTTTGGTTGCTGGTAGTCATGGGGAATCAGCCAAAATATGTTTGAAAACAACATGTTTTTTGTCTTTAAACCATCAGGCTCTGGATGTTTAAATGATTTATTTAAACACATATATCATGATATGATATGCATATATTTGCATATACAATCCACATATGTATATATGTTGACATCTATTTTGATTCCACTGAGTCAGGTTGGACATGGTTGATTGCATATTTTGCTGTCTTTCCGGTTTTTCTAGTTCCATGGTCCAAGAATTGATATGTTTTGATCCGATCATTGCCCCATCCAAGGCTTCATCAATACGCCCATGGAGGTTACCTCCCACCTACGGCCTTGGGATCAGCTCAGAATGACCCTGGGATGAAAACCCTTCCTGAGCATGGCCTTCGGAAGCCTAAGACTTTAGGCTAAAACACATTTTTAAGACTATTTGGAGTGTCTAGGTGTAAGTGTATATATATATATATATACACATACACATAGATATACATGTAATATATATGTATATACATATATTTATATTTATGCATATTATATATATATACATACATATACATTTGCACATATAATCACATATACATCTATATATATATTATATATATTATATATATGGGAAAAAATGGTAGAAGGGGGAAGCTAGGACAAGACAGGTTGTAGGTCAGGTGGGAGGTTGTTATGTTTTTGTTCAATCTTGTAATCTGAAATGTTTGACTGTTTCTTTTTGGTTATATTGCTATATATATATAAATGTTTTAGGTTGTTGTAATAATGTTTGGTTTCAATGAGGGTAGGTTTTGTTGAGGGTGTTTTGCCTGTTATGTTTTTTATGTTGTTGTTCAATGTTTCTTCCTTATCTTTGATGTTTTATGTGGTGGGGGTTTTGGGAATATTTTGCACCTTTCACTTGATGGTTTGGTTTAAAATGAGGGGATACTTGTTTAGGCTGTTTGGGTTTATGTTTGTGTTTGGATGGGTGATTACTTCATAATATGTGTTGTTAAGATATTATGAATTAATCATTTATGCTTCCCACTTTCCTATTCCATCCCACCAGTGTTCAATTATCCTGATTTGACTTGTGATAGGTTTGTCTGTATCATCTAAAATTAGTTCATCTATTGCTAATGCTAATAGAGTTTGATTTATTGCCAGAGCATCCCATTTTCCATCACGGTTAAGTTCCTTACCACATTCAACGATAATTGTTTTGTTAGTGAGGTTTTCATACATTCTTTTTATAATGTCAAATCTCATAAACGAAAAAAATATCATTCCATTTATTCCTTGGTCGTTTTTCAGCCTATCAATTACTTTAAACCACCAGTATTCTCCTTCCTCATCATCTGGTGAAGGCATAGGATGACACTTTACAAAGTCTCGAATCTCTTCATCTTCTTTTTCTATTGCTTGTCTATCACATTCGTGTTCATCTTCGCTTTCACTACCAAAGTCAGCATATATACCGATATTATATCTATCTATAACCTGAATTTTTGTTTTATTCATTTTCTCTTATTATATATAGTTATTGTTTTTCAAGTATTTACCACTTTTTGTAGGTGCTCTTTTATTTCTTCTATGTTCAAATATTTCTCGTAACCATTGAAAAGTTCTTCGGTGTATTCACGCAAAAATATTTTCAAAATGTCATTTACCTTAAACTCCCTATTTCTGAATGTATAAGTCCAATCGTTTTGAGGAAACCACCACTCCCGTTTGTTCTTACAATATGTCATATATGTAAGGTCGTGAAAGTTTTTAAGGAAGTGATAGGTAGTTTTCCACTCCTTTTTCACAAAAGACCTAATCGCCATTAAGAACAGTTTGTCATGTTTGAATTCTTGCTTGAGTTTGAATGTATCCATTAAAACATCAATTTCTCTTTTCATTTGCCGAGTGTTTGTTTGGTTCGTGTTGGATAAATAAATAGGTGATTTCTCCATCCTTGTTTTAAAGAAATAGATTGTCGTTTCTATATACTCTCGTCAGTTTTTTATCATTAAAATAGTCAAAATGATAATTGAAATCTATGTATCTACGCTCCTTATCGTTTAAGTCTTTACATTTTGAACAGTGAAGGTTGTAATCACATATCTCATCACAAATTCCAGCGGGAAAAATATTGTTCAATAAAACCTTTACTTTAGTCATTTCTTTCTTACAACATCCACAGTTTTTATAAGTAAATAGCATCCTCTTACTATATATAGGCATTTTTTCTTTAAGTAGTTTTTGGGGTCTCTTTCAGTTTTTGGGTTTTCTGTTGTCCCTTATCCACTGTAAATGTTTCATTCGTTGTGTTTCACTACTATCACGTTCATATTCTTCATCTTCAGGTTCTTCTTTCTTGTCTTCATTTCTCACTTCTTCTATCATCCTCTTGATTTTGTCTATACCGTGTTCTCTGTCAAATCCTTCCATTACATTTCTAACTTTTTCAAGACCGATGTGTCGTTCAATCTCTTCGTCTGTCATCTTTCTAAATTGTTCTTTATATTCTTCATCATACTCTTCTCCGTCTTCATCTTCAAAGTTCATAAACATTTCCATTCGTTGCTTTTCCATTTCCAAAAGTTTGTTTTCCATTTGTTGGAATTTCATTTGTTTCTTGCCACACTTTCCACAAACATTCACGAAGGTTTTGAGCAAGTAGTTCCAATTAGGTTGCTTTCTATCGTTCAGGGTTATAACATCTGTCATTATACGACATCCCCAGTCAAATTTAGCCATCTGATTTACTCTTACTATATATAGGTATTTTTTCTTTAAGTAGATTTTTTTATTGCTGATAATTTTAAAAATCTAATATTATAATATTGGCAAGGAGACTATCAAGAGATGACATCATAAGCAATGTCTATTACAATCTTGAAACGGGCTTCGGTTCAATCAATGAGACACTTAAGAAAGCAAAGGAACAAGACCAGACCATCAACAGGGTGGATGTGGAAAACTTTATGAGGAAACAACCCAACAAACAGATTAGAAAATACAGGGGTTCAAAATCCTACACCGCACCCTTTGCAAGGTTTGAATATCAGATTGACATAATGGATATGAAACCCCTTACCAAAGAGCCAGCGACGAAAATTCCAATCAAGAACGACGAACCGAGATATGGGTTGGTGGTCATTGACATCTTCAGCAAGTTGGCAAACGTCGTCCCTATGAAAGAAAAATCCGGACCAATTACATTATCGGCGATGAAAGAGAGTTTCAACAAAATGGGTTTTCCGATGTCCGTTTATAGTGATAATGACCGTGCCTTCCAAGCAGGGGTAAAATACTTTTTTGAGAAAGAAGGCATCACTCACGTCGTCATCCTAACACACGCTAATGTTGTGGAGCGTTTCATAAGGACCATGAAGAATATGATACACGACAGGGTGAGGTTTAATCGCGGTAGTTGGACTGTGATGTTGTCCAAAGCGTTAGATAAATACAACGACACCGTCCATTCATCCACCAAAATGAAACCCAAGGATGCCCACGACGACAAGAACCATATGGACGTCAGGGTGAATTTGACAAGGAGGGAAAAGAACACTCGCAAATATCCGGAGGTCAAAGTGAATGATATGGTGAAGGTCTTTGAGAAGAAAAAAAATAACTACACCGAGAGGAAGGAGTATAACTCAAAATGGAGCAATCAATCCTACAAAATCGCCAAGATAGAATATGACGATGTCGGAAACAGAACCTTCAAACTGGAAGGATTGAACAAACCATATTTGAGGCACGAGATTTTGAAAGTATAAAAAAAATATCTATAGTCTATAATATTAATATATGACAGAGGTAGTCGTAAAAGAGATTGATAATGAAGAACCCAAGGAAGAAACAATACCAGAGCCAACACAGGAAGAAGCACCGAAGGAAGAGGAGAAACCAGAAGAAATAATTGAACCATCCGTTCAGCAGAAACCACAACCAGCGCCAAAGCCCAAAAGGGTAAGACCGTCAAGGGCAAAACCGCCTTTTGACCCAGAGGCATTCAAAAGCGACCTTGTAAAACAAATAAAGGAAGAACTACAGAGCGCAATGACCGCCAGAGACACCTACAACAAAGCCAAAGAGGAAAAGAACAAAGCGACGAGAGAGAAATTGAAATCTTTAGCCTCAATTTTTTTTTATAAAGTATCATATATAAAAATGAACATCAAGGAACAGAAAATAGAACTCAACAAAACAGACATCTACGAAAACGTCCGCAAGGACATCAACAGAAGACAAACCGTCCATTCAAACAAAAGTGCCAACTACCGGAGCGGAACGCCCGAAATGCCAGACAGAAGAAAAAAAGTGTATAGTAGTTGTGACCACTACTACCACAACGACAGCAACACGGCAAGGATGCCAACTCACAACCATCATCTTTACCTAAAGCGCCTTCTTGAATATCACAACACCGAGCACGACTACAAGGTCTTACAAGTAAAGCAGAGGATGAATGAAGAGAATGAGATGCTACAGAACGAAATGACAAGGTTGAGGGAGGTGAGGAAAATCACAGATTGGAAGATTACGGGGCGAACGTCCAGAATATGAAACAGAGAATTGATGAATATAAACAGTGGTTGAGAGGCGATACACAAGATTAATATAAAAATCTCAACTATTAATATATAGCAATGACAGCAGAAGTAATCAACGCAAAATAGGGATTGACACGAATACCCACTTACGCAGAACTCATCAAGGAAATAGACAGGGAAAAGTTCAAAACCAATGACATCAGAAAAATCTTTGATAGGAACGCTTGGTATTTTCACGAAAGTCCGCAGGGTCAAGCACTGAACACAAACAATATCCACCCAGCAGACTTACAGCAAATGAACTTCAAAAAGATGGCAGAGGAAGCGACCGCGAGGAAGGAAGAAGAAACACCCAACCTTGACTTTGAAGATATGACAGACTTGAGAGACGACGCCATCAGCGACTTTGAGATGTCCTTTGACAGAGAGGCAGAGTTGAGGGAAGAGAACGAAAGGAGAGTAGCAGAACAAGCAAACTTAAGTCATTCACAAGACCACTATATGGCAAACAAAGGGGCATACGACGCCGTTGGAGCAACAGCATCGGCAGGGATACAAGAAGACGAAGAACCGCCTTCAAGCAGTAGAAGCATCTTAATTATCTTAATTAAAGAAATTCCTTAAATCATCCAAACCAGTCATCAAAGCAGTCGCCACAGCAGGAGGAACAGCAAAGGGAGGGTCAATAGGAGGACTAATAGCATCAAAACTGACAGACGCCTATGTCAAAGGAACTATGTCAAAAATATTCTGAATATAAACAACAATATAGAGAAAATCACCGAGAAGAATTAAGACAAAAACAGCGGGAACGTTACAAACAATACAAAGGACAGAAACTTGAGAAACAGAAAGAAAAGGTTGCATGTCCTATTTGTAAGATTGACATTTCCAGAAACAAAATGTTAAGACACGAAAGAACCCAACGTCATAAAAACAACCTGAACAAACCTGACCCAAAACAAATAGAACAACAAAAGAAAACGGATGAAGAACTGAAACGAATAAAACACCAAGAAACCATAGACTACCTTAACGCAACATTCCCCTCATATCCAGATGCTTAAAACACAACAACCTAAACAAATCCTACCCTTATTCAAACCCAAAGTCCCAGAAAAGTTAGGGACAAAAAATCCCCAGAACATACAACACAAAAAACATCAAAGGAAAGGAAGAAATGTTGAAGATAAACCTAGAAACCATAACAAGCAAAACACCCTCAACAAAACCTACCCTCATTGAAACCAAACATTATTACAACAACCTCAACAAAACATTTAGCAAGATAATCAAAAAGAAACAGTCAAACATTTCAGATTACAAGATTGAACAAAAACATAACAGCCTCCCACCTGACCTACAACCTGTCTTGTCCTAGCTTCCCCCTTCTACCATTTTTTTATGGGATATCCCACATTCTTGCCATAAGAACCATCAGCTCGGGACTCCTTGGCCTGGAGGCGCCAGCAGAAAACAGCAGGCGCCCTCTCCGCCTGAAGCCACAAGGACCTCAGCCATGATGGCCATGGTTTAAAATGGCCATGGATTCAGGAATGTTTAATGGCCATGGATAATCCCATACCAAAAGACTTTTCAAAAGACAGGATTAAACAACCCATCCAAGATTGACCCAGTGATGAGGTTCTCAACGTAGCCATTTTAACTCACAAAAAAACGCAAGTTGCCATACACTGGTGTGAATCATGGTACATCCAGGGTTAAAGAAGCAGTTTCAGATTCACAGTAGCCATATTTCCTGGGTAAATTATAGCAACACGACATGCAAGTTGGAGCTGACTGCGAACATGCAAGTCTTAGTTGTCTCCAGTGAAATCACACAAAGAAGGTTACCTGCCAACAAAAAAAAATGCAAGTTGCCTGACATTGCCTGACCAGCAACTGGAAGGGTTGGGAGCCACTAATAAATGCCAGTTTCCCATCTTTTTACGTCACTTAAAAAACAAAGCCAGCCAAAGTCATACCCTTGGAATCACATGTCGGGTCTATTTGTAGACATTTACTGTAAACCTTGTTTTGATGCCCGTAGGCATTATTTGATGTCCGTAGTCAAAATTTGGACAAACATGTTTCTGTAAAATGCGGTGAACAGCTGTGAAAATAAGATCAACCGTCGATCCTGGAGAGATCGGACAAATGTCATTAAAGTCTTGTCATTTAAGTAAAAAAAAAATGATTTATCACTGATTTGTCAAGATACTGTAACTATACAGAGGGCCGGGATTTACTTGCCGCATCATCCCGTTTCCGACAAAATCGGATTTCCGGCAGATTTCAACAAATGTCACCAAAATGAAGCATTACATTTTGAAGGAATCGCTTTGTTTGAATTTACTGCATGCCTATGCCTACATCGGTTCTCAGGGATATAGAATGATATAGGTGCCAACGTGTTCTCGAAACTGCTCCGAACGTGAAATTCCATAAGCAATGCGGAGTATTGGCCCTTTGGAGCTTCACCCTTCCAAGAACCATGACTGTCTTCCAAAATTGATGCGGGAGGTAACTAGCCAGGAGGTTGAATCCTCATCACGGCAACACCGTCGTTCGGTGACCATCGAAGTGGGTATCATTCACATCAAAAACGGCTGGTAAACGGATGTTCATCCCCCCAAATGGCTGGTAGCTCACGGGTTTTGATCCATCCCCACATCAAAAATCATCAACATCTGCTGACCAATTTGGGGACACCCCTAAAGGACCTCCTGAACCCATGCTGCAGGGGACCTTCAACGAAGCGTCATAGCACAGGTGAAATTTCAGGCCTACCTTTGCGGAGCAGGACTTCCCCCACTGCTGGACTTCTCCAGTGGTGATTCAAACCTGCTGAAAATAGCTGAAAATCATATCCTCCGGTGTTACCTTTGGTGTCATCAAAGACGATTTACTGGGAAAAATCATAGGGAAATATGGGACATGCCCTATAAAATCCAAAAGTGTAAACATCCTACAGATCGAGGTTTTTTTTTATCATCGACCTATCGCTGGGGGGGTTTTCCAGCAATCCAACTATGGCTGATTGTACCAAAGGGTGCATCGAAATTGATTACAGTGATTACAGGAGAATCCAGTGGATCCCTGACCCTCAAAAGCGACTTGAGACAGCAAAGATTACCATTCAGAGGGATGGAAACCATATTTTTGAAGGCACTCCAGATTCCCTTCCAGCTTCTCAAAATCTTCCTTTTGGTTGGTCCAAAGCCTGCATCTCCAGCATCCCAAGAACAACATGTTGTAATGTTCATCTGCCCACTTTGGCAGATTATGGTTTTGGATCTGCATATATATATACATATATATACAGTGTATATATATATATAGACAGACATTTTCTGTGTGGGTCAAATTGCAAGACACATGCAAACATAGATGGTCCTCTACCAAGCAGAGCCATGCAATGTGTGGGTTTGAGCGGCTCTAAAGTGGCCGAAGTATGCTCAAGTACTAATAAGCCATCAAACAAATTTGTAAAAACAAAAACAGGTGCAAAGAAGGAATGTAAATTTTACGGATTTTATGTGCTCTTACCATATATGGCATCCTCAGCCATACTGATACGTTGCTACATGCACACATCTGGATGAATTGCAGTAGTTACTATAAATCATCAAACCTGAAAGAAGGCGATTTTGGAATAGTCAGTTAATGTCAAATAATATCATATTCATGTCAACTGATAGTCAGTTAATGTCAAATTAATGTCATTCATGTAAATTGATAGTCAGTTAATGTCAAATAATATCATATTCATGTCAACTGATAGTCAGTTAATGTCAAATTAATGTCATTCATGTAAATTGATAGTCAGTTAATGTCAAATAATATCATATTCATGTCAACTGATAGTCAGTTAATGTCAAATTAATGTCATTCATGTAAATTGATAGTCAGTTAATGTCAAATTAATGTCATTAATGTAAATTGATAGTCAGTTAATGTCAAATAATATCATATTCATGTCAACTGATAGTCAGTTAATGTCAAATTAATGTCATTAATGTAAATTGATAGTCAGTTAATGTCAAATTAATGTCATTAATGTAAATTGATAGTCAGTTAATGTCAAATAATATCATTCATGTAAATAGTCAGTTAATGTCAATGTCATTAATGTATTGATAGTCAGTTAATGTCAAATTAATGTCATTAATGTAAATTGATAGTCAGTTAATGTCAAATAATGTCATTAATGTAAATTGATAGTCAGTTAATGTCAAATTAATGTCATTCATGTAAATTGATAGTCATAATGTCAAATAATGTCAGTTAATGTCAAATAATATCATATTCATGTCAACTGATAGTCAGTTAATGTCAAATTAATGCATTCATGTAAATTGATAGTCATGTCATGTCAACTGATAGTCAGTTAAGTCAAATTAATGTCATAGTCAGTTAATGTTAATGTCTGATAGTTAATGTAAATGTTGATAGTCAGTTAATGTCAAATGTATAATATGATAGTCAATGTGATAGTCAGTTAATGTCATGTCAACTGATAGTCATGTTAATGTCATTAATAGTCAGTTAATGTCAGTCAATTAATGTCATTAATGTAAAATAGTCAGTTAATGTCATGTCATTAATGTAAATTGATAGTCAGTTAATGTCAAATTAATGTCATTAATGTAAATTGATAGTCAGTTAATGTCAAATTAATGTCATTAATGTAAATTGATAGTCAGTTAATGTCAAATTAATGTCATTAATGTAAATTGATAGTCAGTTAATGTCAAATTAATGTCATTAATGTAAATTGATAGTCAGTTAATGTCAAATTAATGTCATTAATGTAAATTGATAGTCAGTTAATGTCAAATAATATCATATTCATGTCAACTGATAGTCAGTTAATGTCAAATTAATGTCATTAATGTAAATTGATAGTCAGTTAATGTCAAATTAATGTCATTAATGTAAATTGATAGTCAGTTAATGTCAAATTAATGTCATTAATGTAAATTGATAGTCAGTTAATGTCAAATTAATGTCATTAATGTAAATTGATAGTCAGTTAATGTCAAATTAATGTCATTAATGTAAATTGATAGTCAGTTAATGTCAAATAATATCATATTCATGTCAACTGATAGTCAGTTAATGTCAAATTAATGTCATTAATGTAAATTGATAGTCAGTTAATGTCAAATTAATGTCATTAATGTAAATTGATAGTCAGTTAATGTCAAATTAATGTCATTAATGTAAATTGCTAGTCAGTTAATGTCAAATTAATGTCATTAATGTAAATTGATAGTCAGTTAATGTCAAATTAATGTCATTAATGTAAATTGATAGTCAGTTAATGTCAAATTAATGTCATTAATGTAAATTGATAGTCAGTTAATGTCAAATAATATCATATTCATGTCAACTGATAGTCAGTTAATGTCAATAAATTACCCTTACTGACATCTACTGACACATGTTCTGCTGAGCTGCTGCTTGGGATAGGATTTGAGTGTTCCTTTCAGTGGAAGGCTCGGTCACCGTGGCCGCTATTCGGTGCACATCCTTGGGCGAGGTAAGATGGTGGTGCCCCACTCAGAAGCTGCTGTGATAGTTGAAACATGTGGAAACTATAGATAGATCTACAATAAACATCAATAAAACGTCCATAAACCCTTAGAAATATCTACAGATCATGATAGATCATGATAGATCTATGTACCAATAGCCATAAACCCAGCGATGATCCAACGGATCCATATTTCACATAAAACCAACACATTTTGATCGCGCCTGGGGGGCATTGACTCGTTCCAACCTGCCTGGTTGGAGCTGGTGTCGTATTTATATGGTTTTATATTGTTCAACTGCGGTTATGGCTATGTCATATGATAATATGATATATAATTGATATATTATATGATTTGATACTTATTAAATCAAGAAGTAACTGGCTTCTTATACAACCAGGGCCAATGAGGGCCATGGGAAACCATGGGAAAATCACAGAATTTCAACGTGGGGCTCCCTGATTTTACATGATTTTACTACCTCATGAAGCATTCCTGGGCTCCTTCAATGGAGGGTCTTGCCACTCTCAGCACTTGCTCCAAGACACAGTACCATCGTAGCAGCTGGTGTAGAAGCACTGGCCCGACGGGTCCGTGGCGATATCCCAGGCATCCCACAGCCCTTGGCGATCCGTTGAGCGGTTTCTGGCCATTCTTGCCCTGAATCGTGATCCGAATGTGTTCAAACTTACATGAATTACATGACATTCCCATATTAGGGTAGGGAGGGATGCTCACATCCATCAATCTGGGCGAGTTGGTGCAGGGTACCAGGCTTGACACATGGCGCCATTTCAGAAACTACCTGTGATTCATTGATTCTCAGTCTTTCGAAACCGATAACTTCCCCTAGCAGACACAAGGGTCTGCACTCTGGTCCAATGTGGACCTGGGCCAAAAAATGGGGATCCTATGGAGAGGGCTTAACGTTCAGCTGATAAGGATTACAATGTAATGTATTTATATATATAAATATATATATATATGTCAAACAAGGATGGAGTTGAAGAAGGGCACCATGGAGGGTTCTTTATTGAACACCAAGAGGGGTCAGCAAAATGAATCGGTGGAGCACTAGCGTCACCGGTGCAATCAAAAAATGGCTATGCCAGGGTACCATCAACATCCATCAACATCCATCAACATCCATCAACCACCAACCATGCGGGGGTATTTCACTCATCAAGAAAACATAAAGTTAGTCATCAGGTATCACCTAAGATTGGGACATTGTCGGCATTGCCCAGGCAGACTGCCTCAAGTCCATGAGGAGTTGAAGAGTTCCTGGATGATATTAATCCTGACAGGTGTCTGATCAGAATTGAAAAATCATAGGAAATCTATGATGTCACAAGGAGTCAACAAACAAACATGTCGTTTCTAAAATATATACTGTATCTTATAGACTTGCCGTTATTTATATATCATCAACTTTGCGGATGTCACATGCCAATTAGTTGTTTGTTTGTTCAGCAATCCATCACCAACTAGTGCCCCCAAAGACTCGCAGTCACCAGTGCCAACTCTTGATATCTTGCAGCAAACGTTCAATATCTTTGGATTTGTTGTTGGCCACGTATACGGTATGTATATCTATACACATATATAATTATATATAATTACATATAATTATATAAATTACACACTATACACATCATTTTAAAATGCATATCCCACTTCCGAAAAGCAGAACAAAACTTCCCAAGCTGTTTCTACGAGGGATCCCATGTTTCCCGAAACGTCGCTGACGCCGCTCAGGCCTAGAGTCCCCCAAGCCTGGAGACCTGGAGAGCAAAATGATAGAGACCAACTGGGAGGATATACCATGAGATAACAAATGGTATGATAGCTATATATACCATGATATACCATGTATATGGTATAATAGCTATATAATTATATAGCTAATAGTATCATAGTATATAGCTATAACATAGTATATAATATGTATAATCATAATGGTACCAAATATGTACGGGTTGGTGGTTGACCTACCCCTTCTGAAAAATATGACTTCGTCAGTTGGGATGATTAAATTCCCAGCTGAATGAACAAATAACAAATGTTCCAAACAACCAACCAAATGTATAATGGTACCATTCTTGTATAATATAAATCAATATAATAGCTATACCATAATATATATATATAATTATATATATATATATGATATGTTGATAAGAATCTTGATTTGGAATCAACACCTCTAAAACATATCATATGTTTTGATGATTTTTGATGGCTAGCTCGGCTAGCAAGAAAAAAACGGCCCGGGATGCCACCCAAAGGCAGAATCCATTTGTAGTGCTTGATGGGGATTACCCCTTCAGGGCTGTGAAGCAATCATCAAACAACAATCATCCGTCAACTATATCCCCACATTTTGGACATATCTTAAACCCATGTAAAAATCCTACAACATTGATGGATCAGTCAGATAAGTCCCCCTTAAACACATAGATAAAATATGATAAAATTATTTAATTTAATATGATAGTCATCACACGTTTCTTATTTCTTGCCGTGTCCCGCCTTGCCCGTCTCCAACTCCAGACGCTCCAAGAACCCGCAACCGCCGAAGTAGTCGGACTGATTCCAACTGAAGACCTCAGCGGCGATGTTTTTGGCCAGCTCCTGGTGGACATGGGGACGTACTGAGCATAGAAACGTTAATTCAATGTAGCTATAGACCCTGAAAAATCACCCCAACATAAATCAGGAATGGGCATTCCTTTTGAAACCAGAGGGTATTGCCGCGGTAGACGTGTCTGAAACAATCGACAGTGACACATTGAAAGAAGGCTCTGTCCATGTTCCATGTTTAGTGGGATGATAGCCATGGGATCAGCGAAATGGGAACTTATCATCACCAGGGTTATTCAAATTAGGCTACCACGAAACATCCGAAACGTGAAAGCTTCTCATACCATATGATATGACATCATTTCAGTTGGTTGTTGTACTACCCATGTTGAGACATGCCATACAGTTTCAGCAATCATTTCCCACGGATTTTCCAATGGCAATTCCTCATTCCCTTCAACAAATGGCATGAAAAGGACATCAACCATGGCATGTCCCTATGATTGGTCAACTCTATTTCCATCCGGTGACCTCATGCTGTCGCCAAAAACATGAGTCTGATTCAAATTTTGCATGCCTTTGTCGACCGACAACATGTGTGTAATTTGCAAGTCTCAAAACCAGCCATTCCTCTTTTGGTGCAGTTCCATCCGCATGGGTGAAATCCAGTTGCGTTGTGAGAAACGGTATTGGCTACCCTTTTTGCTGCAGTTAATGTCAACCCTGGATTCATAGACCCTGCCTATCAATTGGGGGTCTTACAGCAAAAATAGCAATCAATTACTAAAATTGCTAATTCATCCAATTTAGTAATTAATTTATATAGTTTAACCAGGATTAAACTGAAACCCACTGGTATAAGGCTGTCTTTCTTCAGGCACCACATGGGATGCCCGGCTGCATAGGACTCGTCGTGAACCCTCATGAAGATGGCCGCGCTGTCGGTGATCTGAACGTGGGACCCGTTTTTTTTTCAACAAATCCAGTGAATATCTTTAGGAGGGGTACCAAGTGTATGTACATACTGTAGACGTACGCAGTATCTCATAGTATCTCTCTATTTTTTCAGGGCGAAAGAAGCTGGCAACTAGACTTTTCAAACATCCATCCAGTGTTGGAATCTGATGAGCTGGCTTTGGTTTTTTTGGATCTACAAATGACTATCAGTCATGTCACCACCGGATGAGTCAACCCTGGCTGATGAAAAATAGGGTAGTTCTCCCAAATAGTGAGCTCAGCTGCTACCAGTACTGTGCAGGTCCTTTCCTCCCAATGAGACATAATTGAACAGCCAGGTGAGACTTGGTGAACAAAAAACGAGCCAAATGAAAAATAACAATCAAGATCGATCAAGCACAAGGACCAGTTTAGCCCAGGGCCGAGATCGAAAGTGAAGAAAGGTGGTCTCGAATCTTCAGAGCATCATCATATTTGGATGTAAATCAAGTTGGCACATTTCTCAGTTCTCCATGTTTTTTCGTCCGGAAATCCACGCAAAAGTATTGAATGAACCCGTCTTGGCCATCTCAACCACCGTCTGGTCGAACCAACCCTGACCACTGCTGACCAATTGGATATCCTACAAACAAACACATGATGTTCAATCACTTTTTCGCAGGAGTAGTAGTATCACAGTTTTGTTCTATGCTCATATCCCCTGATTGTGAAAAGGTCTCTGGTAAACAGACCCAAACGATAATCATGGGACCTATCTAGGAAAGGGTACTGTAGCAGGGATTCAAGATGTGCACAGCGCTATTTTCACACATTATTGAAGAAAATCAATCGAGAATAACAATATATTTTGATGCACAGTTTATGCACAGTTTATATCCTTGGTCCTCATTCAGGTCTTTTCTTATATATATATAGGTCTTTAGGTGGCGACCTATTCCCATTAGATCCCATTAGGACTTAGGTACTCGTATATTATTTACGCTCTAGATCAACCGTGGCAATGGAAAACCCCCCATTTATAACCTCCACTGATAGAAACTGGTTGGTGGTTTCAACCTCTCTGAAAAATATGAAAGTCAGTTGGGCTTACTATTCCCAATATATGGAAAATAAAAAAAAGTTCCAAACCACCAACCAGGAAAGTGTCCGTTGCCACATTTGATTACCGCAGGGTTTAGCAAGCAAAAATGACATCGAGCCTTGGCTGAGAGCTTGATGATGCCGCTGCGTTTCTGCTCCTGGCCATGGCACCAAAAAGCCCCTTGGATCGCTTTGAGCCGACCCAAGAAAGGTCGGATAAGATCATCTGTGGGCCGTGAGCCATGCTGGTGCTCCACCCACAAATGGGATCATCGACATAACATCAGTTTGATACATCTCTCAACCCGTCCTAACAAGAGTCAATGCTAGTCTCCAGAATCGCTTTAAAGCAGAATTCTTGGACACACCAATATACTGAAGCAGAAACACCATAGTGTTTCCTCTAAGATGGCCCCTAAGTCACATACACTGACAGTCCAGTCGCAGTCTCCTCAACCTCTTCTTTGCTCCAAGGGCTATAATTTTCGATTTCCGCATCTTTCTGCGCGAGCAAGGCTGAAGAATGCTGGATAAAATCATTCCCGGGACACCAAGGAGTGGGGTCAAGGGCCAAAAGACGCAGGCTTTCAAACTGGGCCCCCTAAACAAGGTCAAAGGATCCAAAGGCAAATCATCAGCCATGGATCGTGGTGTTTCAATGGATCAAATCTTTGGCCAATTGGACAGCTAGGTGATTTTGATGGATTTTGGAAGCCCATCTCATAAAAGTTTGCCAGTGGGTTTCACACTCAAAGCGCCCACTTTGGAATGCCCGCTCAAACCATGTTTCTGAAAACTCCGGCGACGGCAGTCAAATCGAAACATAATTAGCGGTAGTCAAATCCACGCCTACTGAGTAGCTGAGTAGCAAAACCACTCTGACCACGCTGGTGCATTTTTTTGAAGTTCAACAATTTTGATTTTGGGGGTCAGGTATTAATACTGTTTGCAATCAATCGGGATCAGTAATTACAGGATAAATCCTCATTCGTGGTAATATCATCCAACAAACGTTATATAACTATTACCATTGGCTACGGCTACGTATGTATCCACTTCTTGTCCTCATTTCAGAGTCCTAACATACGTCTGGTATGTGGTTGAGCCACCGAAAAAACGGTAGATTTGGGATCATCATGCAATTGTCAGTGAGATGGGAATCAGACGTAAGATATATTTTTGGCCACCAACCAGTCGAAAGACCCAATTGTCTACGTCCTGTAGAGATCTCCCAAGTTGCCGGTTGCCCCAACCAAAAAATGAAAGTGGGCATTGGGAATGCCACAGTCTGCCATTTTCCCTGATAAAACCTAGCAACACATTAAACAACAAGGTCAAAACACATGAAGCACTTGACAAAAACACCGCATTTACCAGGTGTTTTCGCATGTTTTTTAGCCAGGTTATACAAGTGTTCAAATACTGTAGTTGCTTCCATGTTCAATCCCAAATCTAGAGGTTTCACAAATCTCTCGTGCCTCTTCCTCCCACACCTGCTGCCTCAGCGGAAAAAAGTCTGGACGGTTTTGGAATGAACCAAGGCAACATCTACAGTGACGGTCATTATACAGGAACACCATAATCTCAACCAGGATTCTTTTGTTTTCGAATCATGGGGTTCCTGTCTGATCCAGTGAAAAATAACTTACGACCAATCTAATGAGTTTTAAAGGCTGGTGTAATTGCCAAGCTATGAATTATTCTCCATGGTTCAAGTGTCTCTGGTCCCGAGTTTTGGTCGACCAGAACACTTCACAGTCATCATACCTAACTATTGTTCTTCTTTTAGAGTCACTCACAAAATAGAACCGTGACTTACCACTTTTTGAGTAGGATTTGACATTCCTGTCTTTTGGAGTCTTTTGGTGGATTGAGATGAACAGATGGCAAATTCACTTCGCGAATGCTGCATAATGATTGCCGGTATTTCACCGGTCAAAGGAATAATGGAGTATATTAAAGCATAAGATTCAACTGTTGGTAGAGGAAACGGCCAGCATCAGCCAGCCAAAAGCAAGACAGATCACCTAGGGTAGGGGTTGAGATGGGTTTTTCTCAATACAGTAAATCAGCAAACCAGTGAAAAAGAACGGAAAGACTGTCTGTCCGGAATGCTCAAAGTAAAATCTCTGAATCCGGCAGCCCAACCTCTGACCCAACTCCCAAACAATTCAAGCAACCCAGCTATTACCATGGCAACAAAAACAGTTGACATCGCCAAAAACCTCTGCAGTTGAACAACTTCGCAAGCTTATCTTAGCTTTGGTGTCCAACTCTTTCTCAGGTTTCAACACCCACAGAGCCGGCCTTTATCGCTTTGTTTTGAATCTCAACAGCTCGTTGACCATCGATTTTTATCCGCCCAGGTAGCCACGTCCCTTCAACCAAGCGACAAGAGTTTGTTGCTTGCGAGAGGCCAGGTGCCTCGTTGAGAAACGCTGGATGATATTGGATTATTGTAAGAGATTGATTGACCCATAAAATATCATAAACATCTATGAACATGGCTATGACTCAAAACCCTGGCACCCAGATGGTATTCTAAAATAGCTGCTTAATATATTATGATTCCCCCATGGTAATAATAGGTTTTGATCCAAACCCTATATTATTCACCAGTTGGTTATTACATGTTATTACTGGTGATTGGATATGGGTTTGTTTTAAACATCATAAACCATCATAAAATCCTATGGCCCTGTGGTGGACCACAAAGTTGTTGGTGGTAGCCACAGTGCTCAGCATACTTGTTGCCTACATATTAAGCTAAGGTTTCCTCATTACTTAGTAATAATGACCAGCGTCAATCCCCATTTTCATACAGTTTTATTAGAAAACGTTTCACTTGTTTTTGATGGCTAATGTTCATCTTTCACCGTTATTGTTTGGACATGTTTGGGCACTTACCAGACTTACCACTTCTTAATATATATTTTCTTGATTGCATGGCCATGTTTGACCTTGTGTGTTGGAACAATGGCACTGTTTCTGACCAACCCCGGTTTTTCAATGTTATGTTTTGGAAAACCCCCAGTTGTGGTTGATTAAATTATATCAAATTCTTATTTTCCCCCTACCTTTCGAAAAACACAACTTTTGTGCTGGCCAACCCCCTCATTTATTGTTCGTCATTTGATCGAAAATCAAAAAGATCTGGTCGCTGAAGTTCCATTTTTCCCACATGAGAAGATGTTCACATCATATGTTCATATGTTCACCACTTTTCCAACCAGTTTCAAAGGCTGTTCACCATTTTTCCCATTTGTTTTTTTCCACATTTTCACCATTATTCCCACATCTTCAGAGGTGTTTCTCCATGTTTCCCAGCAATTTCAAAGGATTTCCCCCATGTTTCCCAGCAGTTTCAAAGGATTTCCCCCATGTTTCCCAGCAATTTCAAAGGATTTTCCACATGTTTCCCATATGTTTCCCCATTTTCCCATGTTTCCCAGCCATTTCCCGTTTTGGAGGCCATTGCACCACCTCCGTTCCAAGTAGCGCGCCAATAAGGTGGCCTTCTCCAGCGACCAGGCGTCGCTGGATCTCAGGCGCCAGAACCTGGGTTTATTATTGTGTTACCAACGTTCTACAGTATATATAGACATAATCTATATATATATATTAAATAATAGATAGTTTATATATAATTTATGTATAGTTTATAGATGTTAGGATTATAGTTAACTAACATTATGCTAGCATATATTATATATAATTAACTTACAAATGATATATTTCCAAATCTAAAAATTGTACAGTAAATAGTTAGCTACCATCTAATCTATAACGATGAATAAACATATGTATATATGTATATCATGTTGATCATATAAATATATTTAGTTGATAGTTAAATATTACACGTATATGTATATATAAATATATATGTAGCATAATATACATGTGACTATATACGTATATACGTATATATATATACATATATACGTATATATATATATACATATATACATACATATATACGTATATATATAATGGTCACACAATCATACTGGTCAATCACTCCCGTGACATCGTGACATATTCGAATAACAATAGTCCTATCCGCCTCATCGACTCTGGGATAAGTGATGGGGTCGCCCATTTTTCTAGACACACTCCCAGATGGCCCACGATTACATATTCAATCCACGCATCTAGCAATGCCAGCAGAATATTTCATGGGAAAGTTGCTATCATTTGGAGATATAATGGAAATATAGTGGGAGTGTACTCGGGATATGTATATAGATACAATGGATAGATTAGATTGCAGTTATATCACAGAGGGGATGCGATGTACAAGTATCAATATGTGATAAATGGAAAATGCTAGGCAAAAAACGATCTGATGAAAAGGGAATATAATAGATGTGTGTAATATATATATACACGTATAATTAAATACATATGTAAATATATATATATATAGAGTGTCCGAAATAGTTCACTATCCTGATAAATAATGAGGATATACTTGTGATATCTTTGGATAAAACGTAAAAAATACTCATCTAGTGAATAAATTATGGCGTGGACTTACAAAATTATGATCAATTATGGGGATTTGCACACCTAGTTGTGGATGAACATCCATTTAGAAAGTGGACTATAAGCCATGTCAAACTGCGGAATAGCATGGTATATCGGTATATCTCCCACATTGAACAAACGCTTCCTGGGTTTTTCAGAAGGTTTACACAGCAAGTCCTTGGCTGATCAATAATTTCGCCTATGAAGAAATTTGTCGCTGTTGATTCATAACACACCCAACCACGGGGATTGAAATCGAGTTAACACTTGCAAAAGTTGGTATATGCAGAATGCATTTTTTGGGGAATTATAATATAACAATCAATTGGCAGACTTTATGGAGCATTTTTACACACTATCATGAGATTGCATAATATGGTGATGTTGACAGTCATCCCTGTAACTGATGAACCCATAATAAATAGCCCAGAAGAAAATCTACTATATAGGTATTGTGGTTACCGCAGTAATGACCCCACATTGTTAAATATACTTTTGCAATAAACAGGACGGGCCAATATTGATGTTCAATGATATTTACATCAATGTAACTAGACCCTAAATGCATCGATGCAAAATTGTATCTTGGCCCAAATTTGTTTGGTGTGTTTCAATGTTAATGGGCAAATTGTGTGTCTGGGTACAACCACTTACAATTCAGTTGATGTAAATTATGTGTATATGTGGATGTATGTACATTGGACACAAATACAAGGTAACAGGGTAGATAGATGGACGGCTGGAACAACATGGCTACTATACGTACTATATTCATACACATTTTACTACCCTGCACTGTTACTGTAGTTAAGACAGATATCGTAAATTCATGTAAATTCACCATTTAAAGACGATTTCTGTGGGAAACCCATGGTGCTGTAAAAATAGATTTCCATATTACCCCAGCGAAAACGAAACGTGTTCGCCCAGAAACCAGAAGACTGGGCTATCAACGTCATCGCCTCAGTGCTGGGCCATGTTCCATGTTCCAAACGGTTACATTACCGGTACCGGTCGTCTTCGTCCTTGACGGTCGCCCCACATCTTATCGGAGGTCCCATTTTTTTCGATTCATCCAATGGCTTCCCCAAAGAATCGGCAAGCGGCGTGGTCCTATTACATCCTATCACTATAGTCACTATACATCTGTGAATACACTATATACTGTATACTGGTTCGTGGTATACCTACCCCTCTGAAAAATATGAGTCAGCTGGGATTATTCTTCCCAATATATGGAACAATAATTAAAAAACAAACAAATCACTTTACTTCGAGTGATCCCCACCATGACATTTATCGATTTGTTGCTGGCAAATCTTCTGGCATTCTATCTGACATATCTTCTGGCATTCGATCCGGCATTCTATCTGGCATATCTTCTGGCATATATTCTGGTATATCTTCTGGCATGTCTTCTGGCATATCTTCTGGCAGACTGTTCTGGCATATCTTCTGGCATTCTATCTGGCATTCTATCTGGCATATCTTCTGGCATATTATCTGGCAAATCTTCTGGGATTCTATCTGGCATATCTTGTGGCATATCTTGTGGCAGTCTATCTGATATTTTATCTGGCATTCTATTTGGCATACCTTCTCGCATTCTATCTGGCATATCTTCTGACATTCTATCGGACATCTTTTCTCACATTCTTCCCGTTGAGGTCCGGCAGTGCCCACTGCGATCTGGAAGTCGCGGTTGAGGTCCGGCAGTGCCCACTGCGATCTGCAACTCGCGGTTGAGGTCCGGCAGTGCCCACTGCGACCTGGAAGTCGCGGTTGAGGTCTGGCACTGCCCACTGCGATCTGCAACTCGCGGTTGAGGTCCGGCAGTGCCCACTGCGATCTGGAAGTCGCGGTTGAGGTCCGGCAGTGCCCACTGCGACCTGGAAGTCGCGGTTGAGGTCCGGCAGTGCCCACTGCGATCTGCAACTCGCGGTTGAGGTCCGGCGGAGTGCCAGTGGGATTCCACTGGGATCTGGACTGCGAGGAGGAGGCGGCGGGTGAGGAGGAGGAGGAGGCAGAGGAGGCGGAGGAGGCAGAGGAGGCGGAGGAGGCGGAGGAGGAGGAGAACAGCTCTGATAAAATCTAACAACCCTCACCTGGCAGGTGGGGAACCACCAGCCATGCAGTATATGTTATGTATAATCGTATGTATACATTCTAAATATATGTGTCATTAAACTGAAACAAACTGACCAAGTTGCCGAGCACTTTGACCTCATCGTCCTGTTGTTGTTTGCGCCGTCCATTTTTTGGGAATTGCAGCGGGCAGCGAAGGGCTTGTTGGATTGCAGTACATAGATCTGAAATGGAATGAATGGAAATGAACAACTGGAATAGAATATAATCACCATCACCAGCATCATCACCAGCATCATCCTCATGGACCCCATGGCATGGACCCCAAGCTCCCTGCCATTGGTGGCGCCGTCCTTGAAACTGGTGATGTTTCCTTTCGTCACCAACAGCAAATCCTGCGATTCGGGCAGAAATCCAGCAGACAGCACTTCGCAAGGGCAGGAGATTCCTGGGGCGAAGGAGTTTGGTTTTGACGAAGCAAAGAAGGGACGAGCTGGTGGTTTCAACCCCCTAATATATATATATATATATATATTGTATATATAATATTGTGTGGGAGATCATCCCCCGATTTGTAGGGTTGAACTTAAAAAAAACGAAACCACCAACCCGCATCGTCATTGCCTACGCATGATATATCCACATGTTAGACGATTGTTCATCCCCATGAAAGTGCAGTACATGGGGCCCATGGGTCGAGTTAGTAAAAATATGCAATGTAACTGGTTGGTGGTTTAAACCATCTTGAAAAATATTAGTCAATGGGAAGGTTTATCCCATATATTATGGAAAAATATGGAAAATAAGAAATGTTTGAAACAACCAACCAGGTAAAAATGCCCCCTCAGGTTGAAGAGATGTGATATAATGGGATATACCCTGAGGTAATCCAGTCCATGGCAATGCAACATCCCTTACAAACGGAATCATGGAGGCATTCATGGGAAAATCATCTACACATCGGGTATTTTCCGGCAGGCCATATTTGACTACCGGAGGATTATGGTGGTATCATGGTGATATAATTGTGATATAACCAACTATATGGGTGTTGAATGGGATTTTATTTAACGGTGATTTCATGGGGTAACCAATCATTTTGTGGGAATATCATCACATATAATTAAAACTAACCATCAGTTGATTCTATGTGTCTGAACACTGAGCATGGGATTAGGTTTCACATTTGTTTAGCCCCCCAAACATTGTTATAGGGATAAACGATGAACAAGTTATATATATATATATTATAATGGATCTAGGGACCGCTTTTCCAAGGGGTCCAATAGAGGATTTCACGGAGAATCTATAAATGACCATTGACAGTGGGTCCCTTTTGACTTAGTAAACCTCCATGATCAGAGTGTGGTGTATGTCCGGCCCTTCACCACGATCTTAATCATGCAGCCAGTGATAAATTGATATCCTGGAATAGTCCTGGACAAATCAAGCGCGTCAATCTCCCATTTTCCAGCAATTCCCATATTTGATCTACATTGACATACGTTCAATTCAAGTCAATATTAATTCCTTTGTACCGCATCCCCACGTTCTTGCCTATCCTTATGGCGAATCTCCCCTTTGGTCAATATTCCCATACAAACCATCAGTCAGCTACGCCAATCTCGGATTTAGATTCACAAATTGACTTTCCAGCGCCTATTCATAGAGCAAACCTATATCTTATCACCTTCCCTCTCAAAATAGATTTTGTTTTTGGATCATTCTCCTCCTTGCTTTGCAGCATCATGCGGACTTGTCTCAAAGTAGGCTACCCCCAAATGCATTGATTAGATCCCTCCATGAATTTGGGGGGTATAATAGGGATAATCCATGAGAATCCGTTGTCCAGCCCCTCATTCTCCCGACTGATCCCTCCGCAAAATACAATTTTTGGGGGGTTTTACTGTGCCACAATTTCAATGTCCACCCCATGTTGCCCATGTTCTCTTCACCAAGCATCGCAGCAATGGTTGCTTCACAGCCACCAGGGTCCCCTCCAGGGCCTCACCGAAAATGTCGGCCAAGCGCTCGCTGGGCTGCAGGGCCCGTGCGCCGTGGAGCAATTGGTAGGCCTTGGGGTAACTGGGCACGGTGCCAGTCTTGAAGTGGGTTGGACATCCCCAGGAACTTACAATTCGAGCGAGGAAAGTGATGATAAGCCACCAGATTTTTGGGGAACTTTGAATATACTTGAATGTTTTATGCAT